TATTCCATGTGACCAAAGATTATGTCCATTTGGTTGCAGGGTCACAGAGGACGAATATCATTTTACTATGGTTTGTCCAAAATATGAAGCACTTAGACAAAAATTCTTACCAAAATATTATTTTTCACCACCAACCAAGATGAAATTCATTGCATTGCTACAGAGTACTAACTCGTATATTTTATTAAGTTTGGGTAAATATTTGTTTAAGAGTTTTCATTACAGAGAAACTGAAATGGAAGTATGATTTGAAGTATATGTATCTTGTAATTTTAAAGCGACCGTGTGTAATTTAAGTTTTGAAATGTAACAGTACTTTAGGCCGGTGGCCATATAGTGCGGAATAAAGAAATAATAATAAAATGTATATATACATGTATAGCACATCTCTATAATTTTCAAAAACCAATAGCAGAAAAAGAGAGAAAAAGTAGTATTTATGTACAGAGAAATTCATACCATTCAGAATGGAAGTGATAAATAGATGGGAACAAAAATTGGCATAGTCAACATGATTTGAACCTATTCAAGTGGACCCCAATTTCAAGTCCATCACTAACAGCTCGGCCACGATTACTCAAATGACATGTAATCTGCACCGTATAACAGGAATCAGGCTGTTACTTGCAGGGCTGAATATAATCCAATAATCTAATAGTTATTTCTCTGATGCTGGCGGCCATTTTGAAAATTGGTCAAAATAAATACAACTAAGAGAAAAGGTTCCCTACCACGTCTTCTGTATCCACGACAATTGAGAGTGTAAGAAATAAATCAATGAAATGTTCAAGACCAACTTCACTCAGCTGCTGCATCCCTCTTTGATGAAATTTAGAATAGAACCTAAGTATAATAGATAGGATAGATAAATTTAGGGTACGGAAGCGCATGATATGCAATGAAAATCTCACGTGAATTGAAGACACCAAATTACAAAATGATCACAAGTCTACATTTTGAGATATCCTACTGCAAATTAGTGTTTCTGCAAAAAAAAAAAAAAGAAATATTTGTGTTCTTCTCAACTGATGTCTGTTTATTTTTACAGTGACCATGCTCGTGTACAAAGTGTGTAGTAGGACTGGTGCATTTTTGAATGTGACGAAAATCTAACTCATTTTTGTTCATGTAATTGAACATTTCCATGCACTGACTGCATCCTGTGTCACTATTGGTTATAATCACGTTTGATTGACGCGCACAGAATGGAATTGCCTTCAGTTGTTCACAAATCATAAGGGTCTGCTTCCCGTGATATATTATAAAAGTTGCACACCCTTATCATATCAAATCCTTGATAAAAATAAAGGCTTGTATGGTATCCTGTGCAATTATCATAAGTAGAGAATAAGCCAACATAATATGACAGACAGGTATCAATCATGATGCATTAA